GGGGGGCGCTGACGCTGGGGGCGGGCCAGCCCCCCACCACGTGGCCCCGCTCCGGAGCAGCTATTGCACGGCTCTGGCAAGGAGACGGACTGGCCTGCACGCCTTAGAGGGGACATTGCTCCCCTCGCAGTCCCTCCGTGCTGGCTCTTCCGTGCCCCGGGGCAAAGTGGCGGAGCAGTCGCTCGGCTCAGAATGCCAGAGGGTGGCACGAGGGAGAAGCGGGGGCAGGAGCCAAAGCAGCAAGGGAAGCCGCCTGTCCGGGGTAAGGATGCTAAGTGTTGGGTAATTGACTAATCAATGCATTTTGCATTGGCTATGTCGCTCGGCTCAGAATGCCAGAGGGTGGCACGAGGGAGAAGCGGGGGCAGGAGCCAAAGCAGCAAGGGAAGCCGCCTGTCCGGGGTAAGGATGCTAAGTGTTGGGTAATTGACTAATCAATGCATTTTGCACTGGCTATAATAATAAATGGAGCTAGACCTGTCTCCTAGAGCCGGAAGGGACCTTGCGAGGTCGAGTCCAGTCCCCGGCCCTCCAGCAGGCCCGAGTACCATCCCTGGCAGATTTGCCCCAGAACCCTAAACGGCCTCAAAGACTGAGCTCCCAACACTGGGTTTAGCCGGCCAATGCTCCAACCACTGAGCTAGCCCTGCCCCCACTCTGTTAGTCTGTGGGGCACTCCGCCTTTGAAGTGCCCTGGGGCTGTTACGCTTCCAAGGTGAAAGCGCCGCCCCAGGGTCGGGGGGGAGACTCCCCCGCTGATCCCAGGCTCTGTGCGGTGCTGCCTCTTTGAAACGCGGCGAGGAGCCGGGGGACACCCCAGCTGCATGCAGCATTTCAAAGCGGCAGCGCTGTGTGGAGCCCAGGGTCTGGCCCCCAGCTTCAAGCTGTGGTGCTGCTCTGAAGTACCCCACTTCTCCTCCCCCCCTTGCTGCCTCTATCCGATAACTAATCCTTGTTGACTAATCTTCACATCCCTCGTCTGGGGCCAGGAAGCTCAAAGTGGGCTGGGATCAGATTCCAGTTCCAGAGTTTATTGGCTGCCAGGACCAATGTACCCTCTCATTTTTCCCCGCCCATGTGTGGAATGCATTTTGTTCTGTGCGCCGAGGCATGTGCAAATGTGCACCACCAGTAGAAACACGCTGCCGGCTGTGGGCGTTCTGCCAATCAGCTGGGCGGCACTTGAATCTCTCCTGGGTGGCCGCCCAAGCACTCCACTTACGGGGAATGCTGGCCGGGACCGCATTCAGGTAGCACTTTGCGTGAGTTGCCACGGGGCCAGTGGAGAAGGCATTCCAGCCGTCCTTCACTGCCCTGGCTCACCAAGCTCTCCTGATTCCAGCTGGCCGGGGTGCCATCTGTCCCTGCAGGGAGCAGGTGCCCCGTCACCCTGTGCTCGGTGCACATCTGACTGCCTTGCAAGCAGGGAAGCGCTGTTCCCCTCCCCCCTCCCGCCACCGCGCATGCACAAGACTCAGACTGTCTGGATGGAGTCCTCCTCCCCTCTTGCCCTGCAGCCAGGCCGGGCTGTCGTCCGAGGAGCCAGAGAACTTCGGCCCAGAAAGATGCAGCTTCCAGTGGTGCTCTGGCAGAGCAGGGATTTGAACCGGAGTGTGCCAAGTGCCAGATTGAGGCCATGGAGAGAGGAGGGGGCGTGATCAGTGGGATCCATACCCTGAGAAATGGTCCAAGGTAAATAGGCTGAAGGTCAGTTTGGATTAATGCAAAGTGCTCCACTTAGGCAGGAACAATCCGTTCACACACACGGAATGGGAAGTGACTGTCTAGGAAGGAGCCCTGCAGAAAGGGATCTAGGGTCATAGTGGACCACAAGCTAACATGAGTCAACAGTGTGACACTTGCAAAAAAAGCCAACACGCTTCTGGGAGCCATTCACAGGCGTGTTGTGAGCAAGACACGGGCAGCCATTCTTCCGCTCTGCTCTGCGCCGATTAGGCCTCGGTTGGAGGGTTGTGTCCAGGTCTGGGCACCTCATTTCAGGAAAGATATGAAGAAAGAGTCCAGAGAAGAGCAACAGAAATGATGGAAGGTCTAGAAAACACGAGCTGTGAGGGGAGGCTGAAAGAACTGGGCTTGTTTAGTTTGGAAAGGAGAAGACTGAGAGGGGACATGATGGGGGGTTTTAAGTACCTAAAAGAGTGTAACAAGGAGGAGGGAGAAAAATTGTTCCCCTTGGCCTCTGAGGACAGGACAAGAAGCAGTGGGCTTAAACGGCAGCAAGGGAGGTTTAGGTTGGACGTTAGGAAAAACTTCTTACGTGTCGGGGGGTTAAACGCTGAAATAAGTTGCCGAGGGAGGTTGTGGAATCTCCATCTCTGGGGATATTTCGAAGCAGGTTGGACAGACACCTGCCAGGGATGGTCTAGATGGGGCTTGATCCTGCCATGAGGCCAGGGGACAGGACTCGATGCCCTCGCGAGGTCCCTTCCAGTGCTAGGATCTATGTGTTCCGTTGCTTCCCAGCACCGGCGCTGGAGCCTCTCGAGAGCGGTACCCGTGCCAGGGCGGGAGCTGAGCGTGGCAGGGGCGTTCTGGAGGTGCTTGCTCCGGTGGCTCTTCCAGCACGGGCCGTGAAGTGGCGCTGCTCAGAACCACTCCGGCTTTCCCTCTCTGCCTCGAAAGGCAACAGATTGCAAGTGGCACTTAGAACGTGGAAACTAGCTTGTGATTACCCGTTGGATAACATTTTAATTGTGCTCCTGGCACTCTGTCAAGCTAATTTGAGCTGCATTTCAATATTACTGCATTTATTTAGTGCCATAACAATATGGATTAATCTTAAATTATAACGCGGAGGAAATTGTATTACGCTTATTTCCTGTTTGCCAAACATTTAAAGGGGCAGCAGCAGGTTAAAAAATCTCATTATTCGGAGGGAAAAGCAAAGCAAAGTCACGGGCCTGGGTCTGGGATAAGGCTTTAGATAACTGCAAGAGAAGGACTTGAAAAGATTATTTACGCTGCTTGTTGGTTCTCCTTGCCTTTGCGGCCTGCAGGGCGGAGTTCTCCAGCCCTTCCGTCCTAGTGGGGCTCAGTTTTAGGCGCTGCTGAAAGGGTGGGTGACAGTCGCTGAAAACGGGGGGCAGGCGGGGGAACTTGAGACACAACATTTGGTTTCATTGTTACTAAAAAAAATCCAACAGCCAGCCCCCCCCCCAAAGCTGGGTTTTAAAAGAAGAACATTTCACATCTGTGTGCAAAGGGTTACACCTAGGGGCAGGTGCCCAACTAGAGATAAACCCTCGGGGCCACGAACAGCCTCTTTCCTGTGTCTCACGTAGCAATGGACACATGAACAGCAGGGAGGGGAGAAAAAGGTGTGCACACACACGTGTGTGTGCGTGCACATATGCACGCACATGCGTGTGCATTCCCATGTGCGTTTCACATCTGTGTGCAAAGGGTTACACCTAGGGGCAGGTGCCCAACTAGAGATAAACCCTCGGGGCCACGAACAGCCTCTTTCCTGTGTCTCACGTAGCAATGGACACATGAACAGCAGGGAGGGGAGAAAAAGGTGTGCACACACACGTGTGTGTGCGTGCACATATGCACGCACATGCGTGTGCATTCCCATGTGCGTGTGCCCAGCCGCATGCCTTATCTTCCTCTCTGTGTGTGATTCCGTTCCTGCCGTTTCTTTCAGGATGCCAGGTTTAGCCTTCGCACGCACCCCCTGTCCCGTGCAGACAAACCTCCCAGGAGCCGAGGGAGCAGAACTGAACATGGGTCCAGTCCTTAGCGGGAGAGACGGGCACCCACGCGGCAGCCTGCACAGCGGGGAGAGGGCTGCGTTGCCGGGAGCTGGGATGGGAGGCTCGGAGGGACG